GTCTGGGCAATACTGTTGTAATGGACATCTCTGTAGTCCTGCACAGAATGAATACTTGTAAAGTTACTCTGTCAAATAAGCAGTTACTAACACTTTCACGTTTTCATTCATGTATGTTGGGGCAGGGGGAAGCTTGTGGTTCTGCTAGGTAGTCTACTTCAACAAAGAAACTGAGAGACGTATTTCACTTAATTAACAAATTACATGAAGCAATACACTGAGCAGCCGAGAGCTGAAGGTTGTGCTCTGTGCTGACAGGCCCATATAAAGCAGCAAAGAGAAGGGAGATAGAGGGTCATCGTGGGTCCCAGCAGGAGAATGTCTGTCTTTGTGATGTATCTCTTGCCAGCCCAGAATTACTCTGCTTTGCTGGATGAATCTGCAGACCCACCACAAAAAGAATAAATTTTTTTTAAAATGTCTGTGGCCCAAGAGCCTCAACTAGTATTAATTTCTCAAGGAGAAAAAGCTCAGGGCACTATCCTCTGCGGAATAGCCTTAACTCTTTAATTTGCTGCCAGCAGTCAAGTTAAAGGAAAGGCTCAGGGCAATATCTTCCAGGAAAATGTTCATTTTCCTTATGAAAACAAGAGCCGCCTGGCAGCTGAGCGAGTTTCTCATACTTCTAGCGTCTTGGGCATGTATGCTTTCTGAATATATGTTCTAAACTCTGTGCATGAAAAGCCTGCATCTAAGTCATGTCAATTCATATTTGGCTTGTCTGGACACTTCCAGCTTCTACTGGAGCAATCTGAAACTAGATCTGAGTGTACTTTCTTTTTCCTCCCCTATGTCTCTCTCTTCTTCTCTTCCTGCTTTTTTTCCTCCTTCCTCCCCTTTCCCCCACGCTTCTTTCTCTCTCTCCTTTTCTTCCTCCCTCCCTTTATTCCTTTTGTCTTTTTTTTTTTTTTGGAAGAAATGAACAAGCAACTAGAAGTCTCCTACACTGTTAGTGGGCATGCAAAATGGTTCAATGACTTTGAAAAGACAGTGTGACAATTTCTTAAGTAGTTAAACATAATAGATTTAAAACTATAAAATTCTTTTTAAAAATAGGGCAAAAGTTTCATGGATTGAATTTAGCGTTGGTTTCTTGGGTACGTTACTAAAGGTACAGGCAAAGAAAAATAGAAAAATGGGACTTTATAAACATTTAATATTGTGTGCAACAAAAGACAATATCAACATAGTGAAAAGAAGACCCACGGAATGACTGAGAACACTTGCAAATCATAAATCTGGTAAGGGATTCAGGTCCAGAACACATAGAGAACTCCTAAAACTCAATGACAAAAAAAAATCAAATTTGAAAATGGGCAAATAATTTGAATAGACATTTTTCTAAAGGAGACAAACAAATGACCAATAAACACATAAAAAGATATTCAACATCACTAATCATTAGGGAAATGCAAATCAGAACTATAATGAGATACTATCTTATACCCATTAGGACAGCTACTAGTAGAAAAATCTAGAAAATGACAAATATTGTTGAGGATGTGGAGCAATTAGAACGCTTGTACACTGCTGGTCAGAATGTAAAACAGTACAACTGCTGCAGAAAATGTATGGTGATTCCTCAGAAAACTAAAAATAGCACTATATGTTCCAGAAGTTCCACTTGAGGGTATATACCCAAAAGAATTGAAAGCAAGGTCTCAAAGAGATATTTGCACACCCATGTACTTAGCAGCATTATTCACAGTAGCTAAATTGTATAAGCAACCTAGTTGTCCATCAATAGATAAGGAAAATGTGGTATATACATACAGCTGAATATTTATTATTCAACTTTATTGTTTTTAAAATATTTTATTTATTTATTCACGAGAGGCACAGAGAGAGAGGCAGAGACACAGGGAGAGAGAGAGAAGCAGGCTCCCTGCGGGGAGCTCCATGCAGGAGTAGATCCCAGGACCCCGGGATCACTCCCTGAGCCAAAGGCAGATGCTCAACCACTGAGCCACCCAGGCATCCTATTATTCAACTTTAGAAAGGAAGGACATTCTGACATAGGCTTCAACATGGATGCATCTTAAAGACAGTGAACTAAGTGAACGAAGCTAGTCCCAAGAAAAAAATACTTTATGCTTCTACTTATCTGAGGTACCGAGGGTAGTCAAAATTATAGCGACAGAAGGTAGAATGGTGGTTGCCTTTCTACTGGAGAAGATTAAGAGTTCTTGTTTAATGGGGACAGAGTTTCAGTTTCATAAGATGAAAGAGTTATGCAGATGGATGGTAGTGATGGTGGCACAATATTATGAATGTACACTTAAAATGGTTAAGATGGTTGACTTTATATTACATGTTTTTATGATAAAAATTATGGAAATACACATATAGTACACATTTACATAAAAAATAAAAATAAAAAAGTTAAATAAACACCTACACCTCTAGGAGCCGGCCAATCTACTCTGAGTTGCTCAATAAAAACGAGAGCTAATAAGTCCTGGGGATGTAACTACAGCATGGAGGCTCTAGTTGATAATGCTGGATTGTATATTTGAAAGTTGCTAAGAGAGTAGATCTTAAAAGTTCTCATCACAAGAAAAAAAATGTGTAACTATGTGTGGTGATGGATGTTAATTAGACTTGTGGTGGTCATTCTGTGATAGATACAAGTATTGAATAATTATGTTGTACATCTGAAACTAATATATGATATAATATGTATTATACATGTAAAAATACAAAATTATTACAACTATAAAATAAAGAGGGCAATAAAAAGAAGATCAAGGGTATGGATGATTATCATGGGGAAGGAAGAGAATATAATCAGAAGGAACCCACACCATACTTCCAGGATAATGGTATTATTCTATTTCTTTAACTGGGTGGGAGGGCACAAAATTGCATATTGCACCATTCTTCTTTTTTTTAAGATTTTATTTATTTATTCATGAAAGACACACAGAGAGAGGCAGAGACATAGGCAGAGGGAGAACAGGCTTCCTGTGGGGAGCCCGATGCGGGACTCCATCCCAGGACCCTGGGATCACGACCTGAGTCGAAGGCAGACGCCCAACCACTGAGCTACCCAGGTGTCCCGCACCATTATTCTTTAAACCTTCACATCTTTTGTAAATATTTTTATCAACTCAATCAAAAACAAAGAAAAAATGATCATCATCCCACTAGTGACAAGGCAGGTGCAGCTGAGAATGGCAACAGCCCAACTGGTGTTGGGATGAAATGAGGCAGGGACTTGCCCCAACTCCCCATGAGAATTCTGGGATGATCCTGATGGCAGAGCCAACTCCGTGAACTGGATTTCAGTCTTCATAAGCACATACTAAGCAAACAGCACTGCCTTGTTCTTCTACTCTAAATAGTTCGTTGATCAGGCTTCAAGTGAATAAAATCTCCCAGAGGCCTTAGTAGGAATTTAGATGTGAAGATGATGATAGTTTCACCCCACCCTACACGTTCAGAGGCCTTCTTGCCTCTGAGATCCTGTGAGTTGATGCAGATGGTACAGAGGGTCTCTAATCAGGTATGACAGTGTGGTAAGGGCAGTTAAAGAGAAGGGGCGGCATAAGAAGGGAAAGGTTTTTGTGGTTGGCTTAGCAGACCCTTAAAGACCTATTCAACCCTGAGACTCTGTTCTAGGGAGTGTTAGGAGTGGAGGTCCATGTAAACACATTTTCTTGATTTTTATCAAGTCCGGCCAAGAATTTTCTTCCTCTTCTGAGGCTGCTGGGTCTTTCATATCGCATCAGCTGCAAGACTTACTGCCTCACTGACTCTCCCCACACCCATATTCAACCCCCACTGGATTCCCTGGGGCCACCTGCACAAAAATATATGCCTCTCAGATAATGGAAAATTTATTCTAAAAGCTTATTTTAGATTGAGAAATATCCGTTCTTTCATGCCCGTGTTGCTAATATGTCTGCTCTGACCTGTGGTTTTTGCACAGCTGAAGGGTCATGCTGGCCCTCCCTCTGCCTTCAAGTGGGACTGCTTTCTCCCATTTCTCATAATCTGTTTCATCTTGTGGTGGGTGTTATAATGGGGAGAGGTAAGGAGTGTGGTCCCTGTGACAGAGGCATGAGCCCTGCCACTAAGGAGGCCTTGATCAAAGAGCAAACATTCAGAGGCAAGGACAATGGTCCCCATGAAGCCACCTGGAGCTGAAGAGAGATGCTATAGCCTCCATTATGCCCTTATTCCTGAGTCTCCTTAGGTTTCTCTAGCTATCAGATGCTGTCTCTAATTTCCTCAGGATCAGTGGCTCAAGCTTTGGCCCTGAGCCTGAGCCCTGGATTTATGGCTAAGTCCTCTGGAAGTCAATTTTCTTCTTTCCTCTCCTCTTTCCCAGGGGACTCTCTCTGCCTCATACTCAGATATCCTCTGAGACTGAATAGCCTTAATCTTGCTGCAGAAACAAAGAGCTGAGACATGAGTCTAGAGAAATTTGCGTACAGATTCGTGTGGGCTTTGGGTGGTTGGAGCCGACAAGGGACTAATCTGATTACTGATTAGGTCCCATTACCAACCTGCTTCCCTCTCTGACAGTCTGGTCACTAGAAACATGGAAGCCTTGGAGCAGGATAAGGCAGGACATGTGAATTCTCATCACTGCTCTTCCAGTGAATTTCTGTGTTGCCCTCAAGCAATTCCTGCCTCTTGTCCCCAGCAGCTTTACCAGTGAAATGAAAGGTAGTTGCACTAACCTTTCCCAGAGTGTCATGAAGGCCAGAAGCTGTATCGTACAATTATGTGCTTTGGAAGGTCTCTGAGCATTACGGGGGAGATCTTGAACAATTGAGAGTATTACTAGTTCATCCACATCCCTAAGGATGTAGATGATGCTGGGGCCAATCTAGTCAAATATGAATGATGAAAGCCAATCACAAAGTTGAAAATAGGCTCCAGATGCAAGGAGATGAGACAGTTAGATTTACTTCCTCTTTTCTAATTTGAGAGGTTTCATGTTGAAGAAAATCAGTGTGTTAGAGGCTGCAGGAGACCTAAACACAGTCACCATGAGGCTGGGTAGTGTCCTCACGGCTGGGGTCCTCTACTTTTCTCCTACTGTGCTCTGGGTAGCCCAGATGCTACTAGGTAAGTGATACATTTGAACATTGGTGTGGGAATGGAGATATGCCTGACTTTGATCAATGGAAAGATACGTGGACTGACTTTGGCCCAAAGAAGCAATGTTCAGGTGGGAAATGAAGGGTAGATATTTGAAAACGTGGTATGCTGGATTGAATGGCTCTTTCTGAATATAAAAATCTTCAAGCTTTTCCATTCTCAAAGCCCCCTTGTCTATGATGCCCCATTTAGCTACCATCTCAACTCTTTTCCTTCCTTTTCTCAGATTTCTTGAAAGAGTAGTTGGTACCACCTACTTTGTCCACTTCCCCACTTCTCACTCATACCTCAGCGTGCCCAGTCTGGCTTCCAACAGAATCAGTTTTGCCCAGGGTGTAATGATCAACTATGCCATTACCCACCCTTTAGTTCTTCTGCTGCTGGATTTCTCTGGTGCATTGGGCAGTGTTGGTCACTTATTCTTTCTTGGCATTCTTTGCTTGCCTGACTTCTGTGCCATTTTCTCCTTGCACTCTATGTACCTGTCTTTGTCCCTTTGGTGGCTTCTGTTATCTTCCCCTTAAAGACTTGTGTTTTCTATTGTTGTTATTCCTGCCTCCTTACTCTTCTTTCTTTACCCAATCTCCTTAGTGAGTTCATGTATCTGCATAATTTTTACCTCTACAACTATTACTTAAGAGTTCCAAGTCAAATCTCCAACCTTAATTGTGCTTTTTAGCTTCACAGTTGAAGATCCAACTTTGCACAAGACATATATCTGCAAGTTTCACAGGTATCTCAGCACAAAACTGAATTCATCTGTCCCCTTGGTCCCTACATCTTCTAATTTCATCTTTCACTGTGTCTGATCTCACTTCATGGCATCCACCCAGGCATCCAGGCCAAAAACTTGGAAGAAAACCTAGACTCCTTCCTCTCCCTCCCCTGGATATGATTCATTAGCAAGTTTGGCAAAATGTAACTTCTAGACTGTTCTTAGAGACAGTCCCTTCCTTGAGACAGAACTAATAGTATGCTAGGAAAAGCTCTCATCATTGTTGACTTTGGATAGTCCGATAATTTCTTTTTTTTTATTTTTTAAAGATTTATTTATTTATTTATGATAGACAGAGAGAGAGGCAGAGACACAGGCAGAGGGAGAAGCAGGCTCCATGCACCGGGAGCCTGACGTGGGATTCGATCCCGGGTCTCCAGGATTGCGCCCTGGGCCAAAGGCAGGCGCTAAACCGCTGCGCCACCCAGGGTTCCCCTAGTCCGATAATTTCTTAACTAACCTCCGTGTCTCAGTCTTGTGCCCTTGAAATCGATTCTGCACTCTGCAGCTGGTGCACACAAGGCACACCATAGCCTGGTTTCTACTTAACCTCTGCAGCCTCTGCTTTTACCTTGCGAGCCCTGCAAATTATGTTGCAATAAACCCCACCCTGCTTGTATTTATCCATTCACACACCAGGTTCTTACCTATCTCTAAGCTTCACTCATACCGCTACCTCTGCTTGAAATGAGCTTTCTCCATGGGCCCCATTTCCTCTAACAACCTTTTAGGCATCCCTAAAGATTCCATATAGGTGGCATCTTCACCAGGGAAGCTTCTTTGAAAGCTTCCCTTTCTTTCTGCCCCAATGGTTGCCTGTCATACATCTTTGTTATTATTTTACTCCTCATGCTGAAATAATCTCCTCATATGGGTGCGCCATCCACTAAACTGAGTTATTTGTAGACAGGGACAATGCTTTTTTTTGTTTTTGTTTTTTAACCTTGTCATATTTATGTTTAATTCTTTAGCGTCTGCATTATCCTTGGGCAAAAATGTTGTTGAATCATTTTACTGAACTCATAGAGACAGGACTTGGTGACTGTGAAGATACAGCACTTGTATTATGGCAAGAACTCCTTTTCTATTAACTAGCTGTATGTCACCTGGAAAATTCACTTTTTATATCTCTAATTCCATTTTCTTATTCATAAAATGAGACTAACACCTACCATGTAATTGAGTGAAAGTGCCTGGCAACTCACAAGCTCATTTTCAAAAAAGAGTGGAAGCTAAGTCCAGTTGAATAATAGCAGAGGAACTGAAAAATGTAGCAGCAGTAGTGGTGAAGGGAGCTGAGGGAGGATCTAAAGAAAACACCTGGTACTGATATAATGAGAATTAGGAAGTGGAAAGAGGCCTTGCTTGGGGAAGTCACAGAGTTTTGGGGCTTTGGGAATAGAAAGGAACAAAGGCAAGTGGGTCGGGAAAGAATGGAGTGAAGAACTGAGGGTATGTGAATGGCTATGGGGCCAAAAGAAGGGGAGAGGGATTGAGGGACAAGAAGCAGTCATGAAGATGGGAAAAATGGAAATTATCTTGCCTGGGTCAGCGATGGAGCTAAGTGATAGGTTGAGGAGATACATTGAAAAATCCTTAACTCTAAGTTTTAGCCTGGAAGCAAAGAAAGAATTGTTCCATAGTTACCATTACAGACTGGGAGCAGAGGTTTGGAGTAGAGAAAAGGACATAGGAAGGGCTCTATTGTTGTCATGGAAAATTCAAGGGACAGAGGACATCAAGGTAGAGATGGCTCTAAAAATGAAGACTGGAAAGGAGAAAGGAAGGAGGAGACACTGCTAGGTACTGAAAGCTAATTGGTAGATAATATATTCATGGATGAAGAACAAAGGGAATTTTGAGAAAATGAAAATGTGGAAGAAACTCTCCAAGGAAGATCTGAGACCTGCAGTTGATCAAGTCTATAAACAGTGAAGTAAAAAGAACACTGATTTTGGATTCAGACATAATTTCTTTTCTTGCTCTGTTCCTTACTTTTTTTTTTTTCAAATTTTGGGTAAATTAATGAACTATTCTAAACCTGTTTCTCTAAGACTTATAAAATTGGGGGTGAAATTACATACCTAGAAGTCTTGTCAAGATTAGGTAAAATAATGCATAAAAGTGTCCAGCAGTGTGTGGTACGTGTTAAACACCCAGTGAGTGTTAAAATCTGATCATCTCCCTTCCCCTTTTATCCTACGCCTGCCTGCTCAGGGGTCATCATTGCCTTAGGCCTCTGGTTTCCTGCACCAGCAGTTGGATGTCATGCTGGTGAGTTCACATTCTGCCATTGTCTCCCCACCCTCTTCCCCAAACCACGGTCCATTCCCTGAGAGCACCTGAAAGCCAGTGGATCAAGTTACAAGTCAATAGACCCATGTGGGTTTTGGAGTCTCCCCTTCTCACTCTACAAAGGATGGTTCTCCTGGAGATTCCCTGGTGGAGGGCACTTTTCTGTCTTCTTCCTTCAAGTCACAGCTTTGTTTTCTGCTTCTCAAACCATGCCCTGCTCAGCCGCCCCTTTTGAGACACTGCAATGTGAAGGACCTGTCAGCACCCAGGACAGCAGCTGCGATACCCAGGAGGACTTGATGGGCCCAAGGGAAGTTGACTTCCAGGTCAAGGGCTACACTTTCAGTAAACCCTTCCATCTGATTGTGTCTTACGGTGAGGTCTCGGGAAGGACTGACTAGTGCAGACCTTCTCTTTTTCCCATTTCCCAAACCTGCTCTTTCAGCCTACTAGCCCAGTCACAAAGTTGCCCCCAGGAAATTGGCTGTGGGATGAGATGCGGTAGCCCTGCCTTATCCATGAAGGATATGTTCCAAAACCCCCAGTGGATGCCTGAAACTGCAGATTGTACCAAAGTCTTAATATACTAAGTTTTCCCTATACACATGTACCTATGATAAAATATAAATTAGGCACAGTAAGAGATCAGTAAGAGATGAACAACAATATCTAATAATACAATAGTTATCACAATATACTGTGGTAAAAGTTATGTGAGTGGTCTCTCCCTCCCTCAAAATACCTTATTGTACTAATACGTAACTATCTGGTGATGATGTGAGATGATAAAATGCTTACCTGATAAAATAAGTGAGGGGACTGACAGAAGCACTGCGAGGCAGTGTTAGGCTACTACTGATCTTCTGATGATACATCAGAAGGGGGATCATTTGCTTCTGGACTGCAGTTGACCATGGAAAGCAAAACTGTGGATAAAGAGGGATTTCTGTACCTTCTTCCCTATATTCAGGGAAGCCTCAAAAAGCCCTACAAAAATTCACTCACTCTTTGGCCCTAGAGAAGTTGTTCCAATTCCCAACCAGGGGCGAGAATTGTGTGGACCCTCAGAGAAAGGTGAGAGGGCAGTCTGTGCGAGTAGCACTGGGGGAACTCCCAAGGGAGGCAGTGGGTCACACTCAACTCTTGCTTTGGGCCACAGACTGGCTGATCCTCCAAGGTCCAGTCAGCCCTATATTTGAAGGAGACCCACTGACTCTACGGTGCCAGGCCTGGCAAGACTGGCCACTGGCCCAAGTGACCTTCTACCGAGATGGCTCAGCAATGGGTCCCCCTGGACCTAATAGGGAATTCTCCATTGCGGTGGTGCAAGAGACTGACAGTGGGCACTATCACTGCAGCGGCATCTTGAGGAGCCCTGGTCCTGGGAGCCCAGAAACAGCATCTTCTGTGGCTATCAAGATCCAAGGTGAGCACTGGAGGGAGTGTGGTTGTTGTCAGAGGCAGGTGGGGAGACACAGAGAGACCAAGACTGTCTCTCAATAAAGGTGACAAGATCACTGAAGGCTAAGAGATGGGTTGCTGGCAAATGCTTGGGCTTCAGGAGGAGCAGCATCTCAGCATTGCATTCTCAAGTCTTCTAGTCCTCTCCAAGTTCCGTGTGCTTCCCACGCCTCCATCCCCCAGATCCACGCTTCCCAATGTTCACTGATTGGGTGTCTGGACTCTTGTAAGATTTGCCCACTTCTGAGTCTTTCCTAATATTGCCTAGTTAAAGAGAGAGAAGATTTGGAAGTTTCAATGCAGCTTTGCTAAGACTGCTCATTCTTAATGGGAATGGGGGAGGAAAGTGCGACCAGATACTTTGCCTGGCATGGGTCCTCCTGAATGTAGGATGGCTGAGCTTTTCTTTCTCACTTATCTCTCCCCTAGAACTGTTTCCAGCCCCACTTCTCAGAGCCACCCCCTCTGCTGAGCCCCGAGAGGGGGACCCGGTGACCTTGAGCTGTCAGACAAAGCTGCCCCTGCAGAGATCAACCACCCGCCTCTTCTTCTCCTTCTACAAGGACAGCAGGACAGTGCGCAGCAGGGGCCTCTCCCCGGAATTCCAGATCCCCACAGCTTCAAAGGCGCACTCTGGTTCCTACTGGTGTGAAGCAGCCACTGAGGACAACCAAGTTTGGAAACAGAGCTCCAAGCTGGAGATCCGGGTGCAGAGTAAGTTAGTGTGGATTTGTCTGGCGTGTGTGAAAAGTGAGGGAAAGGATTGGACCTGTGAGCTGGGGTTTGGTATGAACAGGTTAAGTTAGGACACAGAGGAGGAGGGAACAATAAACCAGAGTCCCCGGGGATGGAAAAGAGCACAGTTATGGAACTTCTCCCTCGGACCACAGTGCACACCTCACCAAACCAAGACCTGAGCAGGCTCCACAGCTGCTGCTCCATAGACCCTATGCTCCCTACATGAACGCTGGACATCTGCAGGAATATAGTATCTAGAATGAAGGTGAGGTAGTCGGGAGTTTATATTCAATTCTCAATTAAAAAGGCTGCACTTGACCTGAAATAATATATCCAGAGGGGGTGGTAACCCTAATGAGGGGGCTTGAGATCATGTCATAAGAAAAATAATAGCAGGTGATTTTGAAGAGGAGGTGATACAAGGAGCCAGTGGAGGTGTTCTTGAAACACTGAAGGCTGGAACAAAGATGAGGAATTGCACTAATGTCATATACAGTAAAGAGGTTGACCTAGGACCACTGACCACCTCCACACTGTAGGGAATTAGGTTCTGCCTTTATAGAGGAAGAATTGGCTAATATCTATAGCCCTGTAATGATGAAGCCTCATCACTGAAGATTTTCAAACTGAGGTAGCCAAGCTTCAGATTCAAATTTTGATCTTGAGGGAGTCCTTAAACCTCTGCTGGCATTGGACCCCACAGCCACTTTCAGAAAACAAGAAAGACAGGTTAGGGCCAGAGTTAGGCTTCACCCTTATATGTACCATGAATATGAGGCTAGGACCATAGTATGAGGCTAGGGCCAGAGTCAGACTTCGGTCTTATATGTTCCTCTTATCCCATAATGCAGGTCCCTCCAGCTCTACTTCGTCCCGCACCTTGAATCCAGTTCCTCAGAAATCACCTGTTCCGGAATCTACTCCAACAGCATTCCCTGGACCTCAGCCTCCACTGTCCACCCCTTCTAAGAACCCAGGCTTCTCCTCTCCTCTACAGGTGCCAGACCCCCATCTGTATCACCAGATGGGCATTCTTCTCAAGCAAATGCAGGATATGAGAGCTCTCCTTGGTCACCTGGTCATGGAGCTGAGGGACCTATCTGTCCGCCTGAAGCTTGAGACCATAAAGGGTCCTGTTGAATACGAGTAAATAATTCATCTGCAGTATTGCTCAAGTACTCTGAATAAATTCAGCTTTTTCTACTTTTGCTCTTTCTGTCCTATACATACACATAAATAGTCTTACAAATTGCCCAGTATTTTGTTAGAGTAACAGAGATAGGTGAGTATAAATACATTTGCACAAAGTGATCCTCAGAATTTAGCTATAATTACATATTCTCTCATAACATGACATAACAATCCTGCTCCCTCTAGACCAGCTGTTGCCTTCTTTTGCCCAGGCCAGAATCTGGCGACTAAAAGAAAATCAATGAGATGCACTTAATGCAGCAGTCTCAACTGGAGGCAATCCCCCACCGCCACCAAAGGGGACATTTGACAATGTCTAAAGACATTTTGGGGAGTGGGGCTACTGGCATCTAGTGAGTAGAAGACAAGAATGCTGCTAAATATCAGGTCACACACTGGACAGCCCCCACAACAAAGGATTATCTTGTCCAATATGTCAATAGTGCCAAGATTAAGAAACTTGAACCTTGTGGAAGCTAGGTGTTAGGCTCTAGGGTGGACCTTTGTTTCTTCTTCTTGCTGCCTCCTCCAGCATCATTCAGCAAATATTAATTACGTGCTGGTATTTCGTTGCCTCTACTACATACCAAGGTTTGTTCTGTGTTAAGGAAGCTCATAAAATAGTGTCTCTGTCTATAGAGGGTTTAAACTTTGTGATAGAGGAAGAGTCATACCCTTTCCCATAAAATAATAAAAGCGGGATATGTAAAAATTTCCCACAGGATCCAATTAGACTCAGACATATGTGATCAAGCATAACATTGCCAAAACAGCAATTTTTTATTTTATTATGTCTCTGAAGCATTTTTCTTTAAAAATATACACAAGTTGGGGCAGCCCGTGTGGCTCAGTGGTTTAGCGCTGCCTCCAGCCCAGGGCCTGATCCTGTGGCCCCAGGATCGAGTCCCGCCTCGGGCTCCCTGCATGGAGCCTCCTTCTCTCTCTGCCTCTCTCTCTCTCATGAATAAATAAATAAAATATTTTAAAAATATATACATAAATCTATTTTGGTATAGAATACTTTTTTCTACATTTGGACTGCTATTGTACATTCACAGCCAATGAAAGAAAGCTTGAGAGACTCTACAGTAGACCTTTGGTCAATGAGTTAGCACTCTGTTTTAGCTCAGCCAATGAGCATTCTATCATGTTATTCTAACATCCTAAATCACGTGGTATGATATTTTCCACCATATTCTTTCTTTGTGCCATTTATTCTGTGCAATATTGAGTCACAGTAATTTATAAAAAATGCACATGTGATCACTTCAGACATGCCACAAAGAAACAAAGGAATAAAATCATGCTGGATATTAAAATTTGAGTTTTTAAAAAAGATTTTATTTATTTATTCATGAGAGACACACAGAGAGAGGCAGAGGCACAGGCAGAGGGAGAAGTAGGCTCCATGCAGGGAGCCCAATGCAGGACTCGATCCCAGGACTCCAGGATCATTCCCTGAGCCAAAGGCAGATGCTTAATCGCTGAGCCACCCAGGCGTCCCTAACACTTGAGTTTCTTGGTAGTTCCCATCATTCTCTAAAAGGTGAGTTTTGTGGTAGTTCCTAACACCTTCAAGGGGAAGGACCAGGAGGCAGTTGGGAATTAGTAAGAGCCTGTAAACATCTTTGCCGCCTGAGAGGATTTAACTCACAATGGTGTGAATAGGAGTTGCAAGAAATGATGACCAGAGGTATTTCATGACTTTGGTGGATTTGAAAACATGGAAGCTCAATTGCTAGAGTACGATTCTCGATATACTTCCTATACTGTGTTACAGCCATGCCATTAACTAATTGAGTTCAGTTAATGGTACCATTTTCATGAACGCATCCTGCAAGCTCTCATGCTAAACAAGGAATTCATGTACAGATAATAAAAGCTATCCACGATCAGGGAAGGAAGTCATAGATGCAGCTGGCTAAGATAAATGTCACCTCTGCCCTCCTCGTCCATGTGTCTGTGTGCACCTCTCTCATCCCACCACATCAGAACTTTTTAGTATCTTATTTCTATTCACTGGAGGATGAGCTCTTTGCACCACATTGGCTCTTTGGTGTTTAGTTTAATGAGGCATAGTTAAGCTCTAAAATTCTGTTTAGTTGAATTGAGTGAGCCAGCATAAGGGAAGATACTTTGAAGAAGATGGGAATTAACCTGGACCTTAAGGGATGAGTGGCATGAGTGGCATGTGTGGCATCAGCAAAATCTCCAGACTCTGCCCAGAGGATCCAGCCTCGTCAAGTACTTGGAAGCCTCAAGGAGAGGGGTGAGGAAGGCAAGAATAGAGCAGAAAGAATGGGTGGGGGGTTTACTTGTCTCCATCTGCCCATCTAGCCTGGGGTTTGGGAGGAAGTGGGGAAAATGAATTGTTACACCGGGTCTGGTTTATGGCCCTGTGCAGTTTAGACCCACGGAGGTCCCAATGCAGCCACGCTAGATTTTGTCTCCGAAGTCAACACTAGATGGTACGTCCATTATCTTATAAAGTAGAATCCAATGTCCAGGTGTATATGCCCAAAATAAATTCTAGTGTATGTGCATTAGAAGACAGATATAATAATGTTCATAATAGCACTATCTGTAAAAGCAAAACTTTGGAATCAATTCAGTTATCCACCAACAGAAAAATGGATACATTGTGCTTTTTCCACAGAGTGGAATACTATACAAAGTAAAAATTAGCAAACCATATCTAAAATAAAGCAACATAAAAAATATCAAAAATACCAGCTTGAGAGGAAAAAGCAAGTCCCAGGGGATACCACATAATATGATGCCCTTATACAGAGTTTAAAAACAAGCACAGCAAAAGAATATATTTTTTAGGCATTTACACATACATAGGATAAACCTTTTAAAAGAGCATGATAATGGAAACACCAACGTCAGGATAGCAGCTACCTTTGAGGGTCTGATTTGGAGAGACCATGAGGGAGAAACACATAAGTAGATATAAATTATTAGTAATTTAAAAGATCTTATCTGAGCAGGGATTTAGGCCTCCTTTAAATATATATATTTCCCTAAATCATCTTCAAATGCTTGTGTGGTTTCTGCCTTTTTCTTTTCTTAGAGGTAATAAAAACCTGAGTTTATCACCTCCTATGTGGAGTAGTTCTTTCCTTTATTGATCTTCAAGTAAACCATTCCAACCTGTTAAAGACTACTCCAGTGTACTCTCAGTATTGCTGGATTTGGTGAACCTTTGTTTGCTTGTTGACCTGAAAGCCATGATGATGTGTGTTTCACACGTTTTCCCCAGCCTTAATCAGGTCAGACAAAATAGCTAATTTTTTTCAGTACTGAAGAACCTTCATTAATTTGACATTTATGTACCGAGTATTGTGTTATTAGAAAAAAAGAAGGTGCTATAGAATAAAAAAGAATATGAGTTTAGCATGATCTCTGCTCTCAGAGAGGAGTTTATAAAGTCTAAAGTCTTAAAAAGTCTAAGTTGATTGCGCTGTGTTCCTTTATTCTGTAACACATCTTTGGGAAAGTAAAACAGCACAGCATAGCAAAGGAAACAGTAAGAAAAAAGAAACAGCAGAGTGAAAAGAGAACCTATGAAATGGGAGAAAATATTTGCAAACCATATACTTGATAAGGCAGTAACATCCAAAATATATAAGGAACTCATACAATTAACAAGAAAACAAAACAAAACAAAATAAATAGAAAAAAACAAATAACTTGACTTAAAAATGGGCAAAAGACCTGAAGAGACATTTCTAAAAATAAAACCAACAAATGGCCATCAGGTATATGAAAAGGTGCTCACCATCACCCATCATCAGGGAAATGCAAATCAAAACCACACTGAGAGATCACCTCATACCTTTAGAATGGCTAGTATCAAAAAGCAAGAGTTGATGAGGTTGTGGAGGACAGAGAGCCCTGTGCACTGCTGGTGGGAATGCAAACTGGTGCAGCCACTGTGCAAAACAGTGTGAAGGTTCCTCAAAAAATTAAAAATAGAACTACCCTACGAGAGGTGCCTGGGTGGCTCAGTCAGTTGAGCATCTGACTGGATTTCGGCTCAGGTCATTATCTCAGGGTTGTGAGATTGAGCTCTCTCTCTCTCTCTCTCTCTCTCTCTCTCTCTCTCTCAAATAAATAAATCTTTTAAAAAAAGAACTATCTTATGAAGAGATATATATCTTTTGGGTATATATTCAAAGGAAACGAAACCAGTATGTCAAAGAGGTACCTGCACTCCCAGGTTCAGTGCAACACTATTCACAATAGCCAAAGTATGGAAACAAACTGAATGCTAAATGTCTATCAAAAGAATGGATGAAGAAAATGTGAGATGTGTGTGTGTGTGTGTGTGTGTGTGTGTGTGAGAGAGAGAGAGAGAGAGAATCCTGCCATTCACAACATGGATGAACTTGGAAGACATTACTAGGCTAAGAGAAATAAGCCAGATACAGAAAGATAAATATTGCATGATCTCACTTATGCGTGGAATCTGAAATAGTCAAGACTCATAGAAGCAGAGACTAGAATGGTGACTGTCAGAGGCTGGGAGAGAGAGAGAGAGAGAGAGATGAGGAGTTGCTTCATGAGATTATGGAGGCGGAGAAGTCCCATGCTCTGGCATCTGCAAGCTGGAGACCCAGGAAGTATAATTCAGTCTGAGTCTAAAGGCTTGAAAACCAGGAAAGCCGATGGTGTAAATTCCAGTCCGAGGGCCAGAGAGGATGAGATGAGATATCCCAGCACAATCATAGGTGCAGGAAAAATATGGGGGTGGGTAACCCAAATTCCTCTTAACTCTGGCTTTTGTTCTGAGAGAGAAAATAATACCTAGAACACAATACCATTTATGTAAATCAATAACAGGAGACATTACTCAAGGATAAACATACGCATGTATACAAGTATATCCAGTAAGCATCATACAATGTGTGCTCACGTGGAGGGTAGTGTGCATAGAGGTAAGAAAAAATAATAGAACAAGAGAAGGGACCTGAAAAGCCTACGATGACAAACTGCCACGAGCAGCAGGGACAGAGAACATATTTTGGAGTGAGATGGACTTCTACTCAAATCCCAGCTCTATCACCTCCATTACTAATAATCCTTCCTCAAAGGCCCCCTGTTGGGATTAAATGCAGGGACATGGGGTCTGCCCCCGGTTCAATGCTCAGGGCTTCCAGTGTGAGCTGGTGCCAGCAACAGTAGCACTGTCATCATCACTGAAAACATTTTAGTCATCAGGACACTTAGCAGAAGATGGCATATCTTGTCCACAGATTATGCCATGACAGGCTTCAAAGAATTGCTCAGGTAACAAAGGATAATTGCTACCTTTCTCTGCATTAGCAAAGGGGTGAAGAATTAGAAATTCTGCAGGGAAAAGTCTTGGATGTAGAAAGAGATTCAGCTTGGGGGAAATGCAGAACAAAGCCTAGAATAGAATAAAGATCTGTTGGGTGGGAGAGTCTTCAGGCCAGATTCTGAGCACTGTATGATGGGAACCCTATCGATGAGTCTAGAGATTTTCAGGAAGACTATATACATCTCATGAACTTTTGGTGTAATCAGGTGTCTTGTGCAATCTGGTAAAAAGGCTGAAATCTGTGTTCTGAGTGATAAGCCAAACAGAGACTGCTTGTGTGGAGCTAGGGACAGCTGACAGGTGCATCACATTCTTACCGTAGACGTGGTGGCCTGGGGCAGATGTCACAGTCCTGGGGCATGACATGGGGAGGCTGTGGATGACGCAGGGAGGCCCATGCTGGCCCCGGGGGGAGGAGGCAGGTGGAGTGTGGGGAAGTCTGGCAGCATGGTCTAGCCAAGACACCCCTAAAGCAGGCAGTTTATAAATCTCTGTTCTTACTATCCAGTTCCTCTCTCCCTCCCTCCCGAGCCCCTTATCAAGCACCTCCCTGCTTTTCAGACCCATATGACTATCTATCTTTTTAAAAAACCCTGCTCTCGGGACACCTGGGTGGCTCAAGTCAGTTAAGTGTCTGCCTTCAGCTCAAGTCATGATCCCAGAGTCCTGAGGTGGAGCCCAGCATGGGGCTTCCCGCTAGCAGAGAGCCTACTTCTCCCTCTCTCTCTGCCCCTTCCCCTCCTCGTGCTTGCTCTCTCTGTCTCTCTTTCAAATACATAAATAAAATCTTTAAAAGGAAATTACAAAAATAAAAACCTGCTCTCAAACAGGATCTGAGGTGGCCAGCAGAACTTAAACAACCGATCACATTTCCCTTAAGAGGCACTTGCATTTTTAACAAAAACTGTCATATTAAGAGAAACTCTAAGGGGATTCCCAGAATGGAGCTTTGGCCATCAGCAAGGAAGAGGGAGGAAACTGTCTTTAAGAGACTTGACAATGTTTGATAGCCCTTTTCCTCCCCACCAGAGTTCCAGAGGAAGGAGGCGCCCCAGGACACTGCGGCCCAGGTAGGACAGGACACTGGTCCAAGGAGACATACAATCAGGTTGGAAAATTCATTAAGTATTTACATGAGAATTCAGGTTCCCCATTCCTCAGGGTATGATTGCATGGCTCAGAAAGCACCAGAAGTAGAGCTGGGAGGTGGGATCTGCGAAGTTTCTGAGGGGCGAAGTTTCTGAGGGCAGTGACTTCTCTGCCACAGGTGAGGAGTCCTGGAACTGGGGCATGGCTGGGGAAGGCTTGCGGGGATGGCTAGCAGGAAGGCGGGCAGGCACGAGTGAGTGGAGATGCCATAGGGTGAGATCCCTGGGCTGCGTAGAAAAGAATGTTCTCATTTCTGAGGGTTTAAGTTTTCAGGAAGGGTGAAAGAAGGGGAACCACATTGCATTTTTTCCATTCTTCACGAGAACTTTGGAAGACAGTGACACAGAAGGTGATCGGTGAATCATGCCCTTCTGTCACTCACCTGTGGGAAGCTGTGAGCTCTGGGTGCAGGGAGCCCAATGTTAACCTCCCAAGGCCTCACACTCCTGTCATCAGGGAGTGAGCAGAACAAGGGCCCCAGGTAGACCTTCAGGACACGGGGAGGTATTTTCCTCAATTGAGGCTTATAGGGCCACCTGAAAGGTGGGGATGATGTGGGACAGAGGTCGATGTCAATGGGAGCCTGAAGGTGGCTGTGTCACCTGCCACAATCCAGGGTTCTATGTGGCTTTCTTGGGCTGCAGAGGGCAAAGGCTCTGCTCAGCATGCCTCCTCTACAGGGGTTGGGGCTGGCCTGAGATGTGAGGTGGCCCTAGGGGTGCTAGGTGGGACAGTGCCTGGTGCCTGGGACACCTGAGAGCTGACACTTATCCAGCCCATGTCCTGCTGTCTCCAGTCTCCCCATTTCAGGAATTAGGAATGGGTGGGAGAAGCAGCAATGTCTTCCAGGGCTCAGGAGTCGACACCGGTCAGCATTTCCAGCAGTAACATAGGGACAATAATTGTATCGGTCTCTTTGGTTGTTGTGAGGATGACAAATGAATTACGACATGTTGCTAAGGGAAAAAGAGAGCAGCAGTTGAACAAAGCACTTAAACATTTATTGCAGACATCGTGCTGCAGCTGCCGTGGGCCAGGCCAGCATGTGGCCACTGACAGCCCTTCTGCTCCTGGGTGAGTCCTCAGTGCATGGACAGCGGCAAAAGGACTTGGGCTGTGGGGTGAGAGTGGCCCAGGCTGTGTGTGCATGTGTTTTGTGCATTGCACGCGTTGGGGAACATTCCTCATTTCCAAACAGCAGTTCATTATCTATTTTTCGAGGATCGAGAGAAGGGGGCTTTCTCAGAGCCAGGAAAAGTAAAGGCAAAAGAAAAACAGGTCTTGAGACTCCCAGAGCTTTTCCTATGGTCAAAGTTCCCTTACTTTCCTCTCATCCCCAACATTCTTCCACTTCAATTCTCATTCTGCAGTTCCAAGCAGCGGGCAAGCTGGTGAGTCTCCCCCATCCCTCAACCCAATTTCCGACAATTTCCACACCAACCCCCCTGGGTGACCTGCCTGGATACTCCCCACTTCCTGGCTCATGTCTTCTCAATCCCCATGACCCCAGTTTGCCTCTATGCACCTCGAAATGGGTACCGGTAGATTGTAGTCCGGTGCGGTGTCTCCTGCCACGGGGATGGTTTAGCAATGTGGGCCGGATCCTGGAAGCTGGGGTTTCCACCCCAGTGGCCCACCCCAGACCACATCTTGGGCACCTCATCTTGATTCTCTTCCCCGCATTGCCCCCTCTTACACGCCCCCCCCCAGCCACTCTGGAGAAGCCCATATTGTCTCTACACCCACCCTGGACCACAATCTTCAAGGGGGAGCGGGTGACCCTGCGATGTGATGGGTACCACCCTCTGCTCCTGGAGCTCCGGCCCATCAGCACTCTCTGGTACTTGGGCCACCTACTTCTGCCCTCTCACAAGAAGAGCATCGAGGTGCAGACGCCAGGGGTGTATCGATGCCAGACACGGGGAGCACCTGTCAGTGACCCCATCCACCTCTCTGTTTCCAACGGTGAGTGCTTGAACATGGGGGCAGGGGCTCCATGCATCTCCTCTGGCCATATTGGCCCCCAATGGGAGAGAACACTGGGCCACTCCCACTGGGGTGGGAAATGGGGATTATCTTGAGTCTCTGGAGCAGGCAGGGCCCTGCGTGGCACTCTATGTGAGAGACACCATGAGGCTTGCCTGGCCCCAGAGGTCCCCTTGCCCCTCTGCCATAGAGGGAGGCAAATAAACGTTTGTGCTTATTTATGAGACTAGCTCAGGACCTGGGATACTGGATGGGGAGCCATGGGGGAGGGGTCAGGGATGGAAAGGGCAAAGCAAAGGGGTGGGGATTGAAGGTCCCTGTGTAGACTGGGTGCAGCTGGGAGAATCACTCCTGAATGAACAGCAAGATGCTTCTCTGCGCTTTCCAGCAGCCACATAGGGACAATGATTGTATCTGTCTTTTGGCCGTTGTGAGGATGAAAAACGAATTATGACATATTGTTAAGGAAAAAAGAGAGCAACAGTTGAACAAAGTAAACTTAAAAGTTTACTGCAGGCATACATGTGTACATAGGCATCAATTCAGAAGCTGACTTCTTGGGGTTACTTGAAGGATTTCAAAGCAGGATAAGAAAATAGCAGTAATTTGTTCTTTAGCTTCCGAGATTAGCTACTTTGTAGGGAATATTATATCATCTCAGCCTGATAGGCCACAATTTGTATTCAGAACTCAAAGATCATCACTTAGCATTTACACACATTTCATGTGCATACTCTGCGGTTTCTTGTTTGGAAACTGATAGTACAGATAAGATACTGGCCATGAGAGGAGGTGGTTACCATTTGTGGAATAGAATAGCAAACTGATTGTGGCTGTTACTTGCAGAATTCTTTCTCAAAGTAAAATTCCTAAAAATGGCATCCGGAACATGTTAGGGTTATACAAGGGTTAGCTCTGCTGGGTTGGGGAAGCTTTCTGGAGGAGAAAAGGTTGAAGGCTAGATCTACAGGACAAGTAGGCCTCAAGTAAAACAGGTGGGTGTGTGTGTCTTGGGGGGGGTGTCTTATTGACAGGTGCAAAGGCCCTGGGCTCACAGCAGGTCCAGTGCTCCCAACAGGTATATTGGGTGTGGCTGGACCTAGCCTGCATTAGGAGTGGGAAGTGGGGACAGTGAGGGAGACACTGGGCAGGTGACAATACTGAGATGGTGCTGGAAAAGTAAATAGGGGCCAGGTGAGGAAGGCATCCTGAGCAGTGTAATGCCATCCTGATGGCCGTTACTCTGTGATGAGGCTGGAGCCAGCTGAGAACCAGGCATCTTTGCCTTCCTCATCCTTACTGAAACACGGGGCGGGGTGGGGGGGTGGGGTTTGCTTTACCTCCCCCTCACCTGGCAAGGCATCCAGCTCTGCGCCTCCTGGGCCGCCTGCAGCCGGGAGGGGGGAGCCACTGTGCAGGGAGGGGGAGAAGGGTGGGACCCCCCAGGCCTGGGCTTCTCCTGGAGTCAGGCCTGCCGCGGTGACTGTCTAGACTGGCTGATCCTGCAAGTGCCCTACGCTGCGGTGTTCGAGGGCGAGCCGCTGGTCCTGCGCTGCCGCGGCTGGTACGACAAGCCGGTCTACAAGCTGCACTACTACCACGAGGGCCGGGCGGTGCGCTACTTCCACGCGAGCGCCAACTACTCGGTGCCGCAGGCGCGCGCGGGCGACAGCGGGCGCTACCAGTGCTCCGGCACCATGCGCATCCCGGTGGAGAGCGCGCCCATGTTCTCCGCCAAGGTGGCCGTGACCGTGCAAGGTGGGCGCCCCCTGCGGCCCGGGACGGGGCAGACGAGCCCTGGGCACTTCTGCGGCGGGAGCCCGGCCGGGCAGGGAGGCCGGAGGCGCATTTCTCCCCTAGTCCACGCGCGCCCTCGCCTCTCCTCCGCTGGGAAGGCGCCCCTGATGCGCAGCCTGCGTGGCACGAGGGTCCCTTCCCTCCCGCGCAGCTGCGGCTCCTACTCCGGGTGTGGGGGCCCTAGAGCCGGCGGCGGTGTCCAAGCCCCAGCCGGAGGGCGGGGCAGCGGTAGGGGTCCCTGGGGGGGTGGGGGGCCCGCTCGGAGCGCACCCCCCCTCCAGGCCGGGGGCCCCGACCTGGGTGTCCGGCGGGATGGGACGGGAAGCTTCGGGCCCGCTCCCCCCTCCCCCTTGGCAAGCGCTCCCCGTCCTCGCAGGCTCCCTCCTCCCCCCCTCGGTGCCCTGGGCCGCGGGGTCCCTCGGGGGAAACCGGCGGTGCCGCGGCGCGTGGACACGCGGGCCCCCCGCGCCGGCCCACGGCGCACCCTGAGCGCCCGGCGCCCCTCTCCGCAGAGCTGTTCCCCGCGCCGGTGTTGACGGTGACCGGCCGGGCGGAGCCCCGCGGCGGGGTGGCCGTGCGCTGCGAGACTCGCCTGCACCCGCACAGGCGCGACACGCCGCTGCAGTTCGCCTTCTACAAGTACAGTCGCCCCGTGCGCCGCTTCGACTGGGGCGCCGAGTACACGGTCCCCGAGCCCGAGGTCGACGAGCTCGAGTCCTACTGGTGCGAGGCCGCGACCGCCACGCGGAGCGTCCGGAAACGCAGCCCTTGGCTGCAGCTCGCGGGGCGCGGTGAGTGAGCGCACCCTCCCCGGACGCCCCCCCACCCCTACCCCTGCCACCCCCCGCGGGCCGCCCCGCCCGCGCCTCCGCACCCTTCTCCCTCGCGCCACCCGGCCCTCCCCGCTCACCGTCTCCTCCCCCCTCCCCTCCCTCCTCCCCTCTCCATCCCCGACCTCCTCCCTCTCCCTCCTCCCTTCCCCTCTCTCCTCGCCACCCCGTCTCCTCCTCCGTCCTCCCTCTTCCCTCCCCATCCCCTCCCTCTCTCTTCTCCCTCCTCCCTCCCCATCCCTTCCTCCTCCCTCTTCCTCCTTCCCTCTCTCCCTCCCATCCCCTCCTCCCTCCTCCCCTCCCTCCCTTCTCTCCTCCCCTCCCCCCCCCGACCTCTCACCCTCCTCCCTCCTCCTCTCCCTCCTCCTCTCCACCCGGTTTGCCGGCGGTCCTCCCGCGCCTTCCCCGCGCTCCACCCCGGCCCCTACCGCCCTCGCCCGCGGGCGCCGCAGGGTGGAGAGTGAGTGCGGCCGTGGGTTCCGCTGTGCTGCGCCCGCAGGGTCCGCGCTGCCCTCGGCGTCCAGCACCGCCCAGGCTCCCCGGGCCGCAGCGTTGGCGCCGGGCGGCCATCCGCTGTCCTTCAGGAAGCCCCCGGTGTCCAGATCGGCCCCGTCGGTCACCTCCGTCCCCAACGCCACGTCGCCGGGGCTGCAGGGCCCCGCGGGCAGAGCCCCTACGGCGGGGCCACCAGCCTGCGCCCCGCCGGCGCCCTCGGAACCGCCCGCTGGAGCCCTGAAACCCGACGTGGACCTTCTGCTGCAAGAAATGCAGCTGCTCAAGGGCCTTCTGAGCCGCGTGGTCCTGGAATTGAAGGAGCCGCCGGCCTTCCCAGAGCCCAGGGCAACGCTCCAGACCCCCGCCCTCCGCTTCGCTGCGAGCCCGGGAGTCCCCGAGACCACCGCGGTGGAGAGCTGAGGCCCGGGCGCCCCCCTCCAGGCTCCCGCCCCTGCGTCTCCCGGCTTCCCACCCGCGGGGACCTGGCCAGGCCTCTCTGCTCCGCGCCTCTGGCGGCCTTGGTGTGGGCGGGTCTCCGTGTCCCCGGGCGCCCTGGGGCATCCCGGTAGGCGCCAGGCCTGTCCTCGGTTCTCCTCCCCTCCCAGGACTCCCCTTCTGTCACTTCCTACCTGGAGGTTTGGAGGTTTCTGTTGGCAAGTTTATTTAGGCACCCTTAGCTTTTCAGAGGTGCCCATCCGGTACACATTTCAGCACAGGCAATATCGGGTTGTTTAAGGGCATTGAGATAATGAACCCTTTGGAATCTTTGAGGGTCAGGTTGTAACTATTCATAATGTATTTAATGTTAATTCTTAAAAAAGACTTTCAGGGGCCTCTGGGTGGCTCATTCAGTTAAGCATCTGCCTTTGGGTTGGCTCATGATCTCAGGGTCCTGGGATAGAGCCCCACCTTGGGGGACTCTCTGCCCAGGGAGGAAGTTTGCTTCTCCCTCTTCATCTGCCCGCCTCCCGCCCAATGCACTCTTTCTCTCAAATAAATAAATAAAAATATTTAAAAAGTATATTCTTCAAAAGCATTGATATAGGGGGGAATCCCTGGCTGGCTCGGCGGTTTAACTACTGCCTTTGGCCCAGGGCGCGATCCTGGAGTCCTGGGATCGAGTCCCGGGATCGAGTCCGTGTTGGGCTCCCGGCATGGAGCCTGCTTCTCCCTCCTCCTGTGTCTCTGCCCCTCCCCTCTCTCTATGTCTATCATAAATAAATCCTTAAAAAAAAGCATTGATATAGGAAAGACATTAAGGATCAAAGCTAAGAAAAATTGTTGAGACGTCTTTGGTGCAAAAAGGTGATTTTATTTAAAGCACAGGGACAGGGATCCCTGGGTGGCGCAGCGGTTTGGCGCCTGCCTTTGGCCCAGGGCGCGATCCTGGAGACCCGGGATCGAATCCCACGTCAGGCTCCCGGTGCATGGAGCCTGCTTCTCCCTCTGCCTGTGTCTCTGCCTCTCTCTCTGTATCTGTGTGATTGTCATAAATAAATAAAAATAAATAAATAAAAAATATTTTAAAGCACAGGGACAGGACCCGTGGACAGGAAGAGCTGCACCAGGGTTGTGCAGAGTGGCCCATTATATACTTTCAAGTTGGGAGAGCCTTAGGGAGAGCATAAGTCTCTGAGGAATTTTGGAAGCAAGGTTTCCAGGACCTTGAGGGTGACTAGCTCTTGTTGGGAAAAGATCATTTATGACCATCTAATACAGCCTGAGTCATGAGACCCTTCAGATGTACATTGGTGGACCATATTCATGGGGGATGGTCGCCAACATATATCTTGGGGTGTAGAGATAAAGGAAATTTCTAAAGGAATTTTTTATATGTTAAAGTAGACTCACAGGATCCTGAGGGTCGGGCTAGGATTGCCATCTTGCCCTTAGCAACTGTCAACATCAAGGTAGTTGAGTCCCTAGAGGAAGGCCACTCTGTCTGCTTCAAGGACCTGTCAGTGGGCTGTGAGTAGTAAGGAAATTTATTGATTTTTCTTCTCCCTTTGTTTTCCACATCAGCATCATTTTTAAAAAATAGAGGCTTTCAGTTGTATTTCTGATGAGTTTATACCCCAAAGTCCCAGATTTCATATAGTTTTAGAGGGAAAGGTATTTGTGTGGCTTGCTCAGATTATAAGAATCAGAGTTCTGTGAGACTCCCCCAGATGCTCCTCCTGCCCCAGTGGAGCTGGACAGACTGATAGGCTCTAGTAGCAGCAGACAGGCCAGGCTCTCTTTAGCCATAACTTAAAAAAGTGATACTCTTTACATTTCAAAATTTCTTTGAATAAAGTTTTTTTCCTTTGAAGAAAGTTTTAAGACAAATCCTTAAAAATTGAGGAATTCTAGTTTTTAGCTTTTTTTTTCTTTATTCCCCTACCAGCCACTTCAACCCTAACACAACCTAGACACAACAAGACCTGATCCCTATTCCACCCTGCCTGGTGACTTTATTGTCACTTGAAGGTTAAAAGCAAGATGCCATGTCAATTGTAACCTCAGAGATGTGTTCACTACAAACCCCATTTTCATGAGTCCCCCATCTCCCCGCTAGAGCCGTTCCTTCTCTGCAGGGCTGGTGTGACTTGTTTCCAGAGGGTCACTGGGTTCATACCCTTCGTCAAGTAAGCGGCATTGATAACAACTCTTTCACTTCTAACTTGAACTTGGTCACAACCTAATTTCCCCTTTCTTGTTGAGTGATTAACCAGAATGACATCAACATCCTTCATCATATTCTTCACCATATTATTACAAAATCACTGACGTTTTATGGGGAAGAAGGCAGACAGGTACATACATAAATTACAATGCCATGTGATAAGTGCTCTCTGACACATTATGGGAATTCAGAGGAGGAAGATGAATCTTGAAAGAAGAGTAAGAATTCAAGTGAAGATGTGACAAAAGGTTGAGAGTAGGGGAGGCTGTGGACACAAACACATGGAGACTTGAAAGACCTTCTTGTGTTTGTACAGCTGCAAATAATGGAGGGTGGTTGGAGAATTGTGTGTGTTTCTCTGTGCGGAGGTGAATTTTAGGGACAAGGGGACGGGAGATGAACATAGAGAAGTAAAGGGGGATCAGAACTTGAAAGTCTTGTTAAGAAGTCCTTCACCATGTTGGATATTTGGGATGGGTATTTGGAAGTGTTCTTTATTGAAGGTATCAATAAGCCTGATTGGAGGAGATGTCAACTTAAAATCAGAAAAAAAGAATCAATTAAACTGATCTCAGTGAACATTTGCTTTTGTCTGAGAAGGCATGTCCAGGCCCCTATAACCCAGCAGTGGGTTCTGGTTTACAAGAATCTTTGTAGCTCTGATTTCCAGCTTTCTAAAGCAGGCTCAAAAAATAAAATAAAATAAAATAAAAACTTAAAAAAGTAAAGCAGGCTCATCTCTCTTCTCAGAACTCCCGAGACCATGATTTCCCTGGCTAACCTCATGCTACTCTGGGGGCGAGACTCCTTCCTCCTTCTGATTTTGTTCCCTTGAAGTTTCTGCCATCTCTGAATTAGATAGGAAGTGACTAGTTTTAGTGCCAAGAGGCTTAGTAATCAAAGGATCGCAAGTTAACCCTCCCCCAAAACCAAAGAAACCAGTTGATCATTTTTCAAGAGAAAAAAATTGAAGACAGAACATGAGAGACTCCTAACTCTGGGAAACGAACAAGGGGTGATGGAAAGGGAGGTGGGGTGGGGTGGGGGTGACTGGGTGACAGGCACTGAGGGGGACATTTGATGGGATGAGCACTGGGTTTATGCTATATGTTGGCAAATTGAATTCCAATTAAAAAAAAAAAGAAAGAAAAGGAAAAAAGAAAAAAATTGAAATAGGCCCTCACAGGAGAGCTAGTATGCCAGGTATCTCCTTCACTCACTCCCTGTTAGCAGTCCCAATATCTTTCTGTTTGTCCTGCCATCTACCTCTCTTTTGTACTAGAGATGTGGGAGATGGGGAGGAACAAGAACTTAAGGGGGGGTGGGAGAGCTCCACCCATCTGCCCTTTAGAACACTTTTAAGTCCCCAGCTCTCATAGATCACCCCCAACAACACCTGTTACTGATATCCAGGAAGGGCTACACTATAAAAATAGCAGGAAATACCAGACAGGCAACTAACTGGCCATGCCCGTCTGCAGGAAGAAATGACCCCATCCAGCCTCTGGTTGAGGTTCCAACAAGCATTTAGGGAAACAGAGGCTAGTTAGCCCAGGTTGCCCAAGGAGAACTTAGAGCTCATTCTGAAGCAGAAAGATAGCTGCAAAATGCTGGAGAAGCCTGGGGAGGAATTTGCTTCTCTCTGGTTCTCTGATCAGTTCCATTCCTCAGACTGAGGTCTCAGACCCTAAACCAGATTCCAGACCAGGAACCCGAATGTCTGACCTCAGAGAGCAGAGAGGATCCCGGCAAGTTGCCCCATTTTGGATCTCAGCCTCCCTGAGTCTCAGTTTCTTGTCTCGTCTTAAGTCTATGGAAAGAGGGAACTCTTTGAGTTCTTACACTTAAGGACTTTTTCCTTAAGAGATTGAATCAAAACCTCTCGATTAGAGTCCAAACTCTCTGTCATGGGCTATGGAGCCCATTAGCCCTGTACTGCAGTCACACTGACCACTTGCTCTCTCCCCAACACACCAGCCCCTTGCCCACCTCTATGCTTTGACATAGACTCTAGCCTCAACCCTCTGGAGGGCTGCTCAGGCCTTCTGAGCCCAAGAGTCCTCATCTGCAAAATGAGGGAAATAACAGTAACCTTTCGGGGAGAGACAGACAAATAGATTCTTTCCTTACTAGAAGTTTTAAGACAGAGGATGCTAAGGTGCTTAGAAGCACAGAGGATGGACAGTAAGCCCCAAGTGGTGGTTCACAAATCATTTCCTGGGGAGATGACATCTGCTAGTTTCCAGTGATGGAGTATTAAGGTTGTTTCTAAAATTTTGCTGGTTTACATTATACTACACTACCCCTATATCTTTATTTTTTTAAAGATGTATGTATTTATTTGAGAGCAGGGGAAGGAAGAGAAGGAGAGAATTCAAGAAGAATCCCCACTGAGCCCAGAACCCTACACGGCTTGATCCAGCTTGAGATCATCACCTGAGCTGAAATCAGGAATCAGATGCTTAACCAACTGAGCCACCCAGGCACCCCACCGCTATATCTTTAGGTATGTATTTGACTATATCTGTGGGACAAACTCCTAGAAGTAGAATTTCCAGATTTTATATTACATTTTAATAGATATTGTCAAAGGATCCCTGGGTGGCTCAGCAGTTTAGCCCCTGCCTTCTGTCCAGGGCGTGATCCTGGAGTCCCACATAGGGCTCCCTGAATGGAGCCTGCTTCTCCCTCTGCCTGTGTCTCTGCCTACCTCTCTCTCGCTCTCTCTGTGTCTCTCATGAATAAATAAATAAAATCTTTAAAAAAAATAATATATTGTCAAATTACTCCTTAAAGAGATTGTAGCAATCAATTTGAACTTCCACTAGTTATG